TAAGTGTGTGAAGGAAGGGAATTTTGAGGAGCAGAGGGCGTCCAAGCTTTCACAGGAAAACTTTTTAACTTTACTCTCTATGTTCAACAAGGCTGGTATACACTTCTCTTGATGCAACTGTTCTGGTTTTTCTTTCCATGGTTTGACTTTGTGCTTCTTCCTTGGGTAATAGGAGCATCCGTTTTTGTTTTGGTTTGTTTATTATCAGATAATCAATTAACTGATCCATTATTTTCAAGGAATTTCTTCCGAGAATGTACTTATTTTGTCATCTAGAAAGTAATATCGAGCCAAGCTATTTGTTACATGCTTTCATGGTCTGCCTTGTCACTATGTTACTAGTGGCTTATGTCATGAATATCAGAATTCAGTAGTATTCATCTTTGTTACCGATATACCACACATTGTGTCTGTGTATGAGTTTACGTCAAATGCGAATTATCGTGAGTATTGGGCACGGATGTGTGTTTTATGTAATTGAGTTTTACATTTTTTTAAAAATATATTTAAAGAATATTTTCTGTGGGAAATAAAGAATTCAAGTAAATACTTATCTATATGACTGTAAATAAGACGAGACAGATCGTGAGTTACTTGAGATCGACTCGGAAATTATAAGCCGTGGACTCCTTTTTTTGGAATCAATTTCTGAAGTGATATGAGAAACCCATTCTCTTTACTTTGTTGTTGTTGGAAATGGGATAATCTTTAATAGGAAGCTTAGTTGCAATCTATAATTTGGGATGGAAATGTAACACCAATTCTTTCATTCTTTGGTGTAATTATAGAAAGAGTGGTTTAACCCATCCAGAGTGTTATTCTTCTTAAAAACACTCTTTTTAAAAGTTTTAATCTTCTTAAAAACACTCTTTTTTTAAAAGTATTAATTTAAACAATTACATCTTTAATGTCTTATTAGTAAAGATGACAATTTAATATAAAATAGATGGATTTTGACCTGAATTGATCTAATAAGATCGATTTTTTTTTATTTTAAGTCAAATCGGGTCAAACCTTTTAAGGGAGTGAGATCAGGTTCTACTGGATGGTGAAAAAACTTCGACATGAGTCAGGATAGTAATGTAATTTCCTTAAAAAAATATTATTATTTGATTAAGTCATTGTTTTATACTGGGTTGAGTCGGATCAGATTGGAGTTGAGTGGGAGGATATATATTTTTTGATTCGGATTGGGTGAAAGATATATACTTTTAAGATCGAGTCGGGTTCAGATCGGGGAAAAATTATTCAGGTCTAGTTGGCAAAAAACCCGATCCAACCCGACCCATTTTCATCTCTAATTATTATTATAATCACTTTCAACTATTTTAAAACAATATAACTAATTTTTTATGCATGAAGTCTATAATAAATAATGATTTTAACATTTAAATCTATAATATTTTAATCCATAAAAATAAATTAAATATCTATAAAATATTACACGAACCAAACGATCTTAGTGATTAAAAAATAATTATTATGATTAAAAATTTTGAGTTCTAACACCAGCAACTACAAAATATTAAAAACATTTTTAAATAATTGAAAGTTATTAAAATAGACACTCTCACTTATAATTAACCTAAATTAATAAAAATATTTATAATTTTTTTAAATTCATAATCCATATTATAAAGCTCGGTCATTACTCACATCGTTATACTTTTTTTTATTGCTCTCTCAATTTTTAAGACTTTAATTAGTTTAGATCAATCTATGATCTATGATTTTAATAAATGAATTTATCAATGATTTTCTGCATACATAATCACGGGAAATGCTCACGTGACACTTTAATATACGGTTAAAATAAGACATTATCGGTTTTGTTATTATTTTAAATAATAAAATCGGTAAAAAAATGACCGAAAACATTATTATTTCTACCAGTTTCAATTACTGATATAAGTAAACGTGATAGAAAAAATCAGGTCAAAAATAATGTTTTAGGCAGCGCTTTACCAAAAACATTATTTTTTGACCGGATTTTTCTACCGAGATTACCTATATCGGTAATTTATAATATTAACAAAACTAGTAGAAATAATAATATTTTCGATTATTTTTTTATCAATTTTATTATTAAAGATAATAACAAAACTAATAACATTTTTTTTAATAGTATATTAAACTATCGCACACTTTAATAGTGCGCCAGATATAGGAACAAATAAGTGAAGTTGTGGCGTCATGTTCACCTTGGGCTTCTACTCATGATGTAAACCCTAAACCTATCTCTTAATCACATCTAATCAATTAGATGTATGTATAGGCCCACGAGTAGTTATCAAGCAATCATCCATTTTGGTGGTGAATTTGATTCTAATTAATTAAAAATAATAATTCATTACTATATTAGAAAGATTAAATATTTTTAAAGATTGAAAGCAAATGCTCTATTTATTTGAATTTAATCATAATGGTAGAATAGTAGAAAATGATTAAAAATATAATAATAAAAAATTACGTATAAGAATATTTGAATTATCTATATTTATTAAATTATTAAAAATATATTATATGTATCAAATTATAATTTTATTAATAAAAAATAATATATTATAAAATCTTAACCGTTTTTTCTCCTGTGTCTCTATTCTTATATATATATATATATATATATTTAATTATTGGCGATGACACCGATATTAACTTGGTCACTTATCGTTGTCTCTTTCTTCCCTTTTCCCCTTTTTCTTCCCCATTTCACCAATTTGAGATGTTAAATTCTTATATGAATAATCAGTGATGTATATTCGATTGAGTTGAATCCAGTTACAAAGTTTTAGGTTATTCAAGTTGATTAATCCTATTTTATAATTTAAGTTTTATTTAATATTTAGGTGGAGTCGGGTTCATGAAATTTAAGTCGAGCTATTTGAGTTTCTATTAAAATTTAATTGTAAGTTTTATAATGTTGTGGTATTAGATGATTCTAATTTAAACGATTTTTTATAACTATTTATTGTAGACATATTTTTTTCATATCAGATATTTATATAATGGAAAGTTGAGGAAATCGACTCAAACTTGAAAATCGATCTACTAATTACTAATTTTTTTTAGTTATTCGAGTTTTATTTTATAACTCAACTTGAAGTTAAATATATCTAAGTCAGGTCGAATTTATAAAATTACAAGTCAAATCAACTTAAGTTAAAACCTTTCACGTCAATTAGAATAAAAAATTAATTCTTTTAAGTCGAGTCAAATTTTACCGATAATTATAAAAAAATAGATCAATAGATGATTTCCTTATATTATATTTAATACATTAGATTTAAAATCGAACGCCTTAGAATCTTTTTCATTATTCATACGCAGGACACTCTTTTGTCTGTCTATGTAAAAAAGCTATCTTGATGCACGAAAGAAGCATGCCAATTATAAAACTCATTCAAGCAATGATCCATTTATTCAAGACAAGTCATAATTTGATTCAAACCAACCGAAAGAGGGTTTGATTGGGAGATTAAGTATATTTTACTCACCTCAAATTTCTTGACCATTAATCTACCATTTGTGATCATGTACAAAATAATAAAATATTAAATATAGATTACAATTCTCTAAAAATGTACGAATTTGTAAAAATATTAAAATTGTTATTAAGATCTTCTTCTCTATTTGAAAGATATAATTAGTTTTTATCGTTTATCTTTACAAATTTTGAATCGATTAATTCTCATCCAGTCATATGTGACATAATCCCTAACAATTTGTTGCATGCCATAACGTTCACGATGTTAAGGTGTAGCTTTCATTCCTTTAGGCCCCTTTGTTAATTTGGTGTTGACATTTTTGCCTTTTTCACTAAATTAATAATGTATTATTATTGCCTTTTTATCCGACAAATTAAGGAACCACCAATTTTCAACTTCACGTTAACCCCGACTCCCTTTGTTTTTAAATCAAATAAGTCATCGCCTTTATGTTTAAGATTTAAGATACACACACACCCATTTCCCTACTACTACAACCGCATTGATATTTCATGTAGGATAGAAAAAGAGATATTGGGTATTTTCTTAAAAAAATATTATATATATATATATATATATATATATATTTTATTAATTATTTAATTTTATATCTTTTGTAATTGTGTAGTCTTTAATTTTTAAATTTATATCATAATATAAATCTTACACTCATAGTTGCTTTAGGTTATGATAAATGATTAGTTTATAAATTATTAAAAAATGCGATAACCCACAAGAAATAAATTTCAATACATTTATTTTATATCCTCCACAACCTTTCTCAAAAGTTATGTTTAAAATTTATCCAATTCCATATAATATAAAATACTGGCACCAAGTTATTGGTTTAATAGTAATGAGTTGTGTGCATTTCAAATCTATAGACATATGATAAAAAATTCATGTCACTTAAAATATTTTTCAATGATATGCTTTAAATGAGATTTTTTTCTGAAAAAAATTCGATTCTCAATGTGAAACAAGATAATTATACTAAATGTTTAGAAGAGGGTGAAAACGCTGTATTAATTTCATTCTACTCTGGTATTGTTCTTAATTTAAATTTGAACTCCATTAATATTTTAAAAGATTATAAATTTAAAAACGTTTAAATATAATTATTTAGAAAAATAACTATGGGTGATTGGAGTGTTTGCATGTAAACAATTAAACTCTATATACAAATGCAAGGCAATATACAAGGTTAATGTAAATCCCCCGTCACGTAACGACATAATCTAAACCATTAATTCGGTTAATATAGTTACGGTTGAACCATTTCTTTGACTTTGTATTTACGCCAAGTACACTACCCCACATGTCTCTTGCAATCACCCTGTGTCCAATTCATCTTTCCTTGTAAAATAAGTTAAAATCAACGACGTAAATGAAAAAAAAAAGGGGTCAGTACCCTCCAAAAGAAGGGCCAACGACCCCAAAATTTTATTGTCATTCCACTAAGTCCACCATAAAATCTTTCGCAAGATGGAGCCGTTTAACAAACACCTCCATCACATTCCTTCAAAAAAAATGCTTTCTTCTTCATAATCAAGCTCACATGAATCTCTAACCCCAAACCTTTTCTTTTTATACAGTGAAAATTTGCTTTTGGAAGATCAAGCATGGGTAACTATGTTGCTGCACTCGCATGCCCTTCATCCGGTACGTCCGGAAAAGTTATTTTATGGGACGGATCGGTGAAGGAGTTTAGTTTCCCTTTGACGGTGGCGGAGCTGATGCTTGAGCATCCGAAACAGGTGGTTGCGGAGTTCCAGGCGGCGGTGAATCAGAAGAGACCGGTTCCGTTGCCGGCCGATCAAGAACTCGACGTGAAAAAGGTTTACGTGATGCTACCCGTCAAACGAGGGAAGCCCACCGCTTTGTCTTCTTCGGAAGGTCGTCGTGTGCTGTTGAGTGCGAACTCGGTGTTGAGATCGAAATCATTTCTACAGTCATCGAAGTTTCTCCCTCTGTTCGCTAGGATTTGCCCTGCAAGTGATGTTCACGAGATGGGACATAAAATCCCATCGCAGAAGAAGGAAAACAGCGGTGAGATTCATGAAGAAGTTCGATGTTTAACAGAGTTTTTGCCGGAATCGGTTGAAGGTAGGCCGGAGTATTTGATTAGGCAATATTCAGGCAAGGGGTGGAAGCCAAGCTTGGATACTATAAAGAAAGCTGGTTTAGAGAAACGTTAAGGTACCTCATTGGCTGTTTTGATTTTGAAGCTTACAATAACAGCTAGCTCTAGGTTTCTGTAATTTTTTTTCCTTCCGCCATTGTTAAATACATGTTAATTCTCTGAAGATCTTGGATACTATAACTTGTTACTGTTAGGGCAGTCTTCTACACTGTGCAATTATGTTCATATCATTACAGAGAACAACTTTGTTTGATTATCAAATGCTTTAAGCAGGTACGAAGCTGTATTTTTTCTAGATTAGGACTAAATTATAACCTTTTCAAATATTAAAAAATAATAAAACAATTGAATTAATTAATCAATAAGTTAATAAACAAAAGTTGATTACGTTTAAATTATAATTTATTAGAGTTTTCGGTTTGTTAAATTTTATATTCACTGTATGCTTTTTAAATCCAGTTTTCTGATAGGCATATATCTTAGTTTCAGTCTTTGCCATCTAAAAACTTATTAATAAATATACATAAGAATAATATTAGCATTATTTTAAGAATTGACCATTCAGTTATAGGAAGAAATATAATTATTTTTAAAAATTTTGATTTCAAATAAATATATTTATAAAGTGTTTGTCGGGGCTGACTTTAAGGGGAGTATCCTAGCAATTGCTCATGGCCTCTAATTTTTTTATATCAATAGTTAGGGTTCCTACTTTATTATACTTGTAATTAAGATCTCTAATTTTTATAATTTTATAAAGTTTTTAGCTTTTGATAATCTTTTTCCATTTCTCCTATTAATTCATTAATTTTGAATTAAATTTAACTAATTTTTTTATATTTATAATTAAGACCCTAATTTTTATAATTTCATAAAATGTTTAGTTTTGACCCCTTTCCCATTTCTCTTATTTATTCATTCAATTTTAATTAAATTTAATCATGTTTTTCTCTTCTTCTTTTTTCTTCAAATTTTACTCTTTTGTTTATCAAATATTCTTTAATTTTAGTCTTCCTCAATCTTAATCTAACAATAAAAATAATATACAATTCTTATTTATTTATTTATTTATTATTCAAAATCAAGCTATGTATCATACATATATGCATTCAAATTTTTTATATTTATTATCTTTTAGTTGTATTTAGAGTGTTTTCTTATTATAATAATAAAAAAATAATACATTTTCATAAAATTTAATCATTTCTCTATGGTTTATTTATGTAATATTGAATTAATTTTTTAAAGTAATGAAACATGCTTTCATTTTATAAAGAAATTTTAAGTTTTCGCTCAGAATTTCGAAAAATGTCTAAGACGACTCTGGTATTTTTTATTAATAATTAAAAAGATTTTGAATAAATATCATTTTATAATTATTAAAAAATTATAACACTATATATGACATTACATGTAACATATTATTATTATTTTTTTTATTAAGCTAAGGCGATTATAAAAGTAGTATATATTCTAAATACTTTTAATCATTTGACAAGAATATTAAATCATCCTGTTACAACCACTGATGCTTAAACTCATAACCTCTATGAACAATAATGATTCTTTTAACTACAATTGTAAATTAGTTCGTGCTGTAAATTAATTTTCTTAAAGTTGTTACATGTAAATTAAATCAGATACTTAAGTGACACTACAGTTTTGCCTACCCATGTTCTTACAACTGTCCTTTTCTTTTCTAACGATTTGGGCGAGGAGAAGAGGAAATAAATTTATGAATATGAATGTATTTGAATAACAAACATAAATCCAGACCAAGACCATGAAAACCTCAACTCTTAATTAATCTCCTAAGCACCTCTACTTAAATAATAATGTATTATTTATGTAATTAAACAACAATTTTCGACAAGTATAATCAGTAAATTCAGATCTGAAGGTAAGTTCAAACAGAAATACCACTAACACCATATACACAAATCATTATTAAAAAATGGAATAGATTGAATCAAAACGTGAATTGAAAGAAATTACTGCCAGTTTATTATGAAGTGAAAGTACAGAGCAATGATTTCAATCTTCCCACGTAGCGGGGCCGAAAATGAGCCAAATCTAACTCGAGTGTTGTTGAGTTTGATTCGATTTGAAAATTTTAAAATAGAGTTTAATTCGATTCAAAAACTTGCGAGACTGAAATTTTTAAGTTCAATTCTAACTTGAAACCATGAATTAAAGCTCATAAAAGTTGAAAATAAAATAAATCATAAACTTAACTCGATTGAAACCTAAAACTCAAACTTGAACCTTAAATACATAAAAATCTCATACAACATTTAAAAAAAATCAACATATAAATATTAATATTATTAATATTTAAAAAAATCTTAATATATTATATTTTTTGAGCTGCTCACGAGTTTTTCGAGTCGAATATTAAATAGCTCATTTCGACTCGTTAAGAATTTAATGCGAGCTCAAGCTCAAGTCAAATCCATTCAAATAAAAAATTTATCTAATTTTGATCAAATCAATCTCGAATTTCTCGTCATTTCATTTACTGTCCTACCACGTAGACACAAAAAAGAAAGAAAGATGGATTCATGTCTTAAACTTTGATACAGCCATTCTGAATCTAAAACATTCCTTTTTTATTTTTAGGATAAATTTTTAGTATCTAAACTATCAGTTTTATTTCGTTTTAGTACTTAAACTTTTAATTTTTTAAAATGATACCTAATGTTTAGTTTTTGATTCATTTTAGTACCCACTCTAAAAAACTTAACGTGTTTAGTACCTAAACTATAAATTTTGGTCTATTTTAGTACCTAAACTTTCAATATTTTTCAAAACTTAGAGTTAAATTTTAAACAAGGGGTACTAAAATGAAATAAGACTAAACTTTAGGTATGATTTAAAAAAGGAAAGTTTAGGTACTAAAATAGACAAAAATTAATAATTTAAGTACTAAACATACACTTTACCTTCTTTTTAATGGCACACATGGGAATAATTAGAACTTCAACACAAGAGGACCGGTTAAGGATGGCGAAATTCAACAATATTTATTGAGGGGGTAATTTTAAAAAATTAAGGAAACCAATAAAATTGATAATGCATATGATATTTTTCTTGAGAAAGTAGATAATTAGAGAGACGAATTTGATACATACTTACATTCAAGTATGTTCTTCAAATTTCATCTCGTTGATTAATTGGATATTTTTATATTAATTTACGTAATTTGAGATCACGTTCTATAAATGAAAGACTGACGTTTTTAGCCTCAACATCCAGAGGAAGGGATTGATTACAATTCTAATGCTCAAGCCTTAAAGTTTTCGATGACATTAATTTCTATATTATCAATATTGTTTTTGAAAAAAGAATCTAATCTTTTTTTGTTTCCTTAGAATTTCACACAACCTATAATATATAACCATAAAACTATATTATGTGTGTATGTGCGTGCATGTTTTAGAGACTAAAATTTATGAACTTACATAATATATATATATATATATATATATATATATATATATATATATATATCATAAATAAAAATGAAAAAAGAAAATAGATGTAAACTTTTTTCTAATAAATAACATTTACGTGGTTTACAAATTCTAAAGGAATATACATATTTTGGACCAATCCATTTTTTTATTAAGTAGAGAGATGTTACATTTTTAATGTAAATATCAGAATTAAAACCCACATAAGATAAAAAAATATGAGTATTATTGACCATTCGATCAATTAATAGATCTATGAGATAATCAAATTTAATAATTTATTATGGACCGAATTTAATATTTTAATATATATATTATAATTATATATTCTATTTTTAAAATATTTTTTTGGGCCATGGCCCACACTAGTTTTAAGGGCGTTTCGCCCCTGCCGATAAAAATATCGTTCACATCTGTAGGCTGTAGTATATTTCTGTTAATTTAAATTAAACTACTCATAAATTTAAAATAAATGGTTATATAAAAGAATGTCAAGTGTAACTGTATAATAAATAATATATGTTTAAATTCATTCTACGTTATCAAAATAACCCTCATCGAAAGGTTATTTTGATAATACATCCAACTTATTCAAAATAAATTAGTGTGATCCTAAAAGTTTTCATTATTACTATCGCAATCGACCCTTCTGGAAAAAGTCGACTAATTACAACGATGAGATTTTTAAAATGATTTTTAAAATGAAATGTTGGGAGTCGCCACCAATTATTTTTAAAGTGTGACTGAAACACCTAAAATCGAATAATTTTAATAGAACATTTTATTATCAAAAATATCAAATTTTAGTATGTGAAAACCAGAAATTGGGTTATGGAGTCGGTTACGCGCGAGGAAGGATTAACACCCCACAACGCCCAAAAATTGATACCTAGTCGATTATCTAATATTTAAAATTGGAAATTTTGAGTTTGATATTTTATTTAATTTAAAAATCATTATGAATATCAAGTTTGGAAAATGAAGTTGATTTACTTAAGAGCAATACGATCACCCTCAAGCATTTAATGCGAAAACTTCATTATTGATATAAATAAACAAACATCGTCTTAAAGTTTAAGAAATCATGATATGAGGTTTTGAAAAAGATATTGATTTACTTTGTGAATTACTAGTGTTCACCCCCTAAGCATAACTATATAATTCTAAATCTTATGACTTATCAGAATAGTCAAACATCATTTTAGTTGCATAGAAAAATCGTATTGTATTAGTTACAAGTCACAAATATCGAACATAAAAAATAAACTCTTAAGTGGAATATGTAAAAGGTAAACATGCAACGAATCTTAGTTTAGTCCTAAAATCGACTAAATCTAAGCTTTGATACCAAATTATAACACCCTCGACCTGGTCTAGACGAAAATCGGATCAGAGATGTTAACATAACTTAAACCAAAGTGAAATAATCATGGAACAAATATAATATTAACTTACAATCATCAGAACTAAATCAAAGTATTCATAATTTAAATCACATCATTGTCAATATTATTTAATAGCCAATCATTAACAAATTATAACTTGAATTCATACTTAGAGACTAATTTCAAACGCATGAAAATTTAAGAACTTATCTATAGATTTTTAAAACTATGAGAATTGTTCACTTAAACAAACATTCTCACACAAACAATGCATAACCATATTTTTATCATTACTATCAGATTCAATCATTTTATAGCGTTATCTTCTTAAAGGTTGAAATTGAAACTTTTCAAAAACTTAGGGGCTTAATCTCAATTAACCCAAAATATAAACTTATAACAA